AGATAAAAAACCTAGAGGGTATAATAAAAAAGTATTTAAAAAGTTGAAGGATAAAAACTAAAAATATTAAAGGGTTAAAATTGAAAAATAAAATAAATAAATTTTAATTATTTTATTGTATTATATAGGTGGGGTATAGAAAATGTAAAGGAAAAGAAATAAGAGGGGGTGGGGTTAGAAAACCCTATTTTAAAAGGAAAATTAAGGAAATTTTAAAATAATATTTTATTTATATGGAAGAGATTTTTGAGATCTTGAAATAATATTTTATTAATTATATTAAATATTTTAAAATTTAAAATGTAATTTTTAAAATGAATAAACTGTTGGAGCTAAATATAATTTATTTATTTTTAAGATTTTGACTTGTAATTTTTATTTTAAAAAATTTAGAAATCTATTGAAAATGCTTGGGCATTGAATACAAGTTCATCAACATTTTTCTTTTTATTCATGTGGAGGACTTGGAATAAAGAGAGTAAAACCAGAGGGTGCATAACCATCAACTACTGAAACCATATGGTGGTAAACTGAATATTATCTATCAATAAAAGGAGTCATTCATTCTCCTGCTCATCATCACCATTTCCAGGAGCGATGGATATGGAGCCGGCAACGGCGGTTGTTTGTGTTGTTGGAGTAGCATCGGTGTTGGCCTTATATATATTGAATTTGTTGTGGTTGAAACCAAAAAAGATCGACAAGTTTCTAAGAGATCAAGGACTGAAAGGTACTCCGTATCGATTGTTATTCGGAGATTTGAAAGAGATGAAGAAGATGATGATTGAAGCCAAGTCTAAACCCCTGAGGAGTCCAACTGATCACGATATCGCTCCTCGTGTCTACCCCTTCTTCCTTAAGTCCGTCGCTGCTCACGGTACGTGTGTGTATCATGTGAGAAAAAAGTTACCCTGAGAAACATAAGAAAAGATGTGAACATTTGATCACTTCTAATCTCATGCATACTCAGAAATTGTGCTTTAGATAGGAATTGATCCAGTACATCTGGGTACACCTCATTAATATGGACGTTCAATTAGGATCGATCCAAATATGAAGATTTCATTCTTATGTTTCTCATCATAACTTACCTTCTCATCAAAACCCAATCATATATGTGTGATTTGAAGCAGAGGTGGTCAGTTTTTTGACATATGTGATCGAATTTTGACTTTTTATAGCATCTCTAACTGTATGTTTATAATTTTCCCAAAATAAATCTGTTGGAGATGTTAACACCTCCCTCTTAATACGGTCACGTTTTGGATTATAAGAAAATTTAATTCATGCTGAAAATCAAGCATTTCGTTCTTAAATGGTTTTCTGGTTTTAGTTACATACTGTATGTATGCGTGTGTGTGTGTGTATATATATATATATATACAAACACAGGTAAGACTTGTTTTACATGGATGGGGTCAAGACCTCTGGTGCACATATATGACCCGATTATGATACGGGAGGTGCTGGCTAATAATTATCAATTTCAAAAGCAAAGGGGAGGAAACCCAATGACGAAGTTGCTAGCAAGAGGGTTAGTCGACGTTGAAGCTGATCAATGGGTTAAACATAGAAAAATCATCAACCCCGCATTCCATRTCGAGAAGCTCAAGGTTTCTTGCCCTACCTTTTGGCTCTTTAATTCATGTTAGTTGTTTCTCTAAATCATCATTTTGATATGTTTAATTGTATTTTTTTTATTGTTAGCATATGGTACCCGCGTTCTATATGAGTTGCAGTGAGATGATTCACAAATGGGAAGTGGTAACGAAAGAAAGCTCGTGTGAAGTGGATGTATGGCCTCATCTTCAAACGCTTACGGCGGATGTAATTTCACGTACAGCGTTCGGTAGTAATTTTGAGGAAGGGAAAAAGATATTTGAGCTTCAAAGAGAACTGGGAGAGTTAGTTATAAAAGCTGCGACGTCGGTTTACATCCCGGGATCAAAGTGAGTTTTTTTAACGATACTATTTAAATTATTTTCTCTTAAAAATGAACAATATATGCAAAATTGTAAATTTTTTTAACCGATGCACTATTTTATTTGATATTTTGAAGTGGCAAAATCATTAGTTTATTTATGATTCTATAGGTTTTTGCCGACAAAAAGCAACAAAAGGATGAAAGAGATTGACCGGGAAATAAAGGCTAAGATAAAGAGCATAATCGATAGACGAGTTGTTGCTATGAAAGCCGGCGAAAGTATCAATGATGACCTCCTTGGAATTCTTTTAGATTCCAATTACAAAGAAATTAAACAACACGGGAATAACAATTTTGGATTAAGCATTGATGAAGTCATCGAAGAATGCAAACTTTTCTACTTTGCTGGACAGGAGACCACGGGAAATATGCTTGTTTGGACTATGATTTTACTAGGTCAACACAAGGAGTGGCAGACATGTGCTAGGGAGGAAGTTTTACAAGTCTTTGGAGAGAAGAGACCAGATATGAATGGGTTGAATCACTTAAAAGTTGTAAGTTTCTCCGTAACTCGAATTTACCAAATCTATATACTTCTTGAACATGTTGAAATACTTCCTCTTTTATTTCGTGTCCTAAATTTTGCTTTTACAGATCAACATGATTTTTAACGAGGTTCTTAGATTGTATCCGCCACTTGGATTTCTAAGACGACTTGTACATGAAGAAACAAAATTAAGAAACATAATATTGCCGGCGGGAACTCTCATCCAACTAAACACGTTGATTTTACACCACGACCAAGATATATGGGGTGAAGATGTGAACGAGTTCAAGCCCGAAAGATTTTCTGAAGGTGTGTTAAAGGCGACCAAGGGACAAACATCATATGTCCCATTTGGAGGTGGACCACGTATATGTATCGGACAGAATTTTGCTATGCTAGAAGCCAAAATGGCGCTCGCAATGATTCTACAACACTTCTCTTTTGATCTATCTCCATCGTACTCGCATGCTCCACATACTATAATTACTCTAAAACCTCAGTTTGGCGCTCACTTGATTTTACACAAACTTTAGGGAGTTTGTTGTTTGTTTTACTTTGTTTTAAAATATGTTGTTATATTTTTATTGTTGTTTATCAATAATATATTCAACCAGTTTAATATATGTATTACTCATGTTATTATATATTATAAATCGCCTTCCATATGTTGTGTGGAAATAAGTCGTCACCACAAGAAACTATTTTCACCAGCGGTGCTAGATTTTTCAACGGAAAATTACCGACATATTTCCAATGTATCCCAAAAAAAAATAAAAAAAGTCGACTTTCATCGACTTCCGCCGCAAATCCGCTACTAAATCTTTAAAAAAAATTCAATGAAATTTTTAAAGATTTGTGGCTGATTTTAATTAATTAATCAATTAAAATTCTCCATAAATCCACTGGAAATTAAAATTAATTTTGCTGGTGGGATTCGCAGTCGAAGATATTTTTATTTTAAAAAGTTAATAAAAATATTTCCAACGAATTTAAACTTTAAACTTTTTTTTTATTTCTTATCAAATTTATTTTCTTTGGGGGAAAAAAAAAATATTGAAAGTATTTATGGCGGTCGACATAATCCACCTAAACTTTTGTTATTTTTTATACAATTTATTTCTGAAAAAAGATAATAAAAATTTAGAAATATTTCCAAGAAAGTGACAACCATGTAACATTATTTGTGGGGACCGTGAAAATGCAACTGAAACTCAAGCATTAAAACTAAGCGTTAATCCTAAACACTAAAATTAAGTGCAACAACTTTAGTGTATGCTCCTCGTGCATACCATTCAGGTTACTTAATGCTTCCCCTAGAGCAAGGAGGCGCTACCCCCATCCCATATGACGCCATCCGATGCTTCCAGTTCGAATTAACTTGTACAAGTGTATAGTATAAACCTCTTCACCTGTAACCAAAACTGTTCAATTGTAACTTTCAATTACGTCATATTTCCATTTAATGGTTCAATTGTCAACCTCCTTACTATTTGATACATAGATTTATGATAAAAATAGCAATCATAGATATTTTCTTGAAATGTAGTAATACGTACAGAGTCGTGCAAAAGAAAAACAATGGTCTTCTAGAACATCGTTTCCATGATTGGTTCAAATCTCTCCATCTATCCATCTTATTAAAACCGAGTTTTTCTACAAAATAGTTATTTTTGGAAAAAAGAAAATTTAATCAAATAAACTGTTTCTTTTTTAAACATGATAATCGGAAACCTTTGCAAATCTCTGCAAATTTTTTGGCTGAAACTACATCCATCGTCTGACTTAGAATTCTTGGCTAGATTCGTGATTGTTAAAAAATTGTTATTTATTGATTTTTGAGTAAATTACAGTGATGGTCCATGTGGTTTGCTTAAAATTTGGATTTGGTCTATAAAATAAATTACATCATTATAATCATTTCGTCAATACGTTTAAAATGAGTCTAATATTAATTTTTTTTTTTGTTTTAATCATATTATTAAATATCATAAATAATACACACAAATTATTTTCAATACTTACACTTTCTACCTTTTATGGTTATTTTTTAATATGTAATTATGAGTATAAAGTGTAAGTATTAAAAGTATTTATAATATTTAATAATATAAGATTAAATCAAAATGTATTCAATATTAGGTCTCATTTTGAATTTATTTGCAAGAGAATTATATGAATTTTGTAATATAAAAAAACGTATTTTTTGATATATTTTCAATTATATGTGTTAATATCATGAATGTGTAAACCGGCAAAATTAATGATATAAAGTAAAAATTAAATAACTAATAAATAAGAATGTAAAGTGTAAAAAATGTATACGCAGAAAACGAAAGCTTTAAGAGAAAATCAAATTATGTATAAACATTTTTTTCGGGCCGAATCCAAACTTTATGCAAAAAAAAAACATTCTCCATAAAGTATGTCCATAAATTTTGGCTAGTTACGAACATATATTTCTAAATTCACTAAAATAAAAACCATTTGATGGATTGGTTAACATTTTCATCAATTTCACCGAGATAAAGACAGTCTTTTAGAAAATCGTTTCGATGACAGGTACAAGTCTCGTCATCTTGTTTATCAATTCTATTTAGTATTTTTCAAAGAATATTGGATATTTCTCGTCTTCTACAAATTTATTTATTAAAAAGTAAATGTTAAAATAAAAACGACGAAAAGATTGAGAATGCAATAATACAAAAAGAAAATGAAAAAAAAAAATATAATGGTATAGATGTCAAATAAAAAAAAAATGATTTTGTATTTTTTATAAATTTGTTTTGTTTTAGTTTTGAATTTATTAATACATTTTCTATTAAAAGGTAGGGTAGCCTATTATATTTTAGAAGTATAAATTGTGGTAACTTTCTTTATTTAAGGGATTTTAATGAATGGATATTATTATCTGTTAATGAAATGTACCACTTTACCCTTTTCATTTAATAAAATGTTAAAATTGCTATTTTTTTTAATAATAATTGAATTAGAACTAATTGATGATTATTAGAGTGTTTCTTTATTTATTTTTTTATTGCTATCCTCTTAACCTAACTTAGATCACATATAACATGATCAATGACCAATTTACAAGAAGTAGGGAAGTAATCTTAAGCTCCCACCTCATCAAACCTTATCTACCATCCCATTAAATCTTAGGGGTTATTTGTTTACTTCTTAATAGTTTCATTAAGAGACAATTTTTGAATCGTTAAGAGGTGAATCTTGTTTGGCAAAAAAAAAATGTATGTCTATCAGGGTGCGTTTGGTACGCTGGACAGGGTGGAACAGGACAGGACAGAACACATTTGTCCTGTGTTTGGTGTGGCCTAATATTGGACTAAGTGGAACTAACTTGGCTAAACCTTGGACACGCGTGTTCCATCCCACCCCCCTGGAACTAAGTGGAACACAACCTATTTCCCTCATTACCCTTTCCCCACACCCGGCTGCAAGAAGAACGACCCTTCACCGCTCCATCGTCTCGATCGCTTCCTCTTGTCGATGGCCGGCGAGTTCCAATCGACGGCGAGTTTCAATCGACGGCCTCCATCGCCTCCATCGCCTACTACGCTGCTCTACCTCGTTTCACCTTCACAAATTGAACTTGCTCTCCAACTCTGCATCAACTTGCGTCCTCTCGAAATCAAACTGCAAGTCTCTCACTCTCTCCTGTCTCTTGATCAAAGTCTCTGGCTCTCTTAGTTGAAAGCAACCCATTTAGACTTCTGGTAAATTTCTAAATTCTTATGACAGAATGTTTATGTCTTTCACTCTTTTGTAGATCGAAGATGTTATCTACTTGTCTTGTTGAGTTTTGATAGTTAGATGATTAGTTCAATATGCTAATGTGTCTATCTTGGTTTCTCATTGGTATTTGCTTTATGCCTGGGGTTTGATTTGTTGCTCATTGTTTATAATATTACCGAGGTTTATAATAACACCTGTCCTGTCCTGTCCTGTCCTGTCCGCGCACCAAACGCACCCTCAATGGTGTTAAAACTCTCTGAATGATTTTGTATCTTGGATATCTTTTAATCATTAAGAGCTCTAATTTTATTGTTCACAATTATCAAACAATTATATTTTATTTTGCACTATATCATGAGAGCCTCTTAATTATTCTGCACTAAACCATTCAGTAATTACCAAACAGCCTACTTAAATAAAGAATAAACATTTCATTTTAAATAAAAAAAATCTAAAATAAAATTAGGATAATCATTGAGTTCTGACAAAATACTTAATTACTATTCTTATAAAAAATTATATTATTAACTCAAAAATAAATTAATTCGTTATTAAATCTAAATTAAGATATAATTAAAAAAATTGAATTAAAGAAATTACACAAAAACAAAAACTTCTAAATAGTTAATTTAATAGTAATATTGATATATTTATTTTCGAAATTTTATGATATCTTTAAGTTTATATTTTATTTAAAAATAAAAACATTATCCTTTCTCTAAACCACATAAAAATTGTATTATAACATCTACAGAGATGGAACGAAGCATTGTACGAGTACCTTTCTATTCTGAAAAATAACTTTTAAAAAATTTATCTTAGATGATAAAATTTTAAAATTTCCCATCTAATAATCTCGGTAATAACATTTAGGTTTTTCAAAATAAAGATGAAATCAAGATTAGGTTTATCGTAATTTTCAAAAAACAAAATTCGATATAAAGTTTTGAAATTTAATGTTATTTATACTATAATTATAAACATTTGACAGTAACTTTTAAAAATCATGTTTTATGCATGAAATATTTATTATTTATGTATATTATTTAAAATTCAAGTTTACAAGTGAATTATGCGTAAATACAATTTATTAAAACTCTATGTTTAAATTTGTGTAACTAACAACAGATACCCATAATCGTAACAAGATAAACATTTTATTTTAAATATAAAAAATATAAAATATAATTAAGATGATCATTGCAACATAATACTTACATATTATCTTTACAAAAAACTAAAAGCACACTCACATAATACAACGAAATACATCTTGATTTTAATGTTTTATTTTATTTTGTCTTTATTGTTGTTATAATACAATTTTACGTATTTTTTTGAGAAAGCAATATTTTTTTTATTTTTGAATAAAATATAAATTTGAA